TCACACAGTTCCACGAGGCTTGACAAACACAGAATCATGTTACCACAGTAACGATACAAAACTTTTCTCAGTCCTTGCCAAAATTTCCTGGGACTACTCCCTCGGAGTCAAACACTCCCCAAATTCTTAATCGCTGGAAACTACACATCTCTATCACTATAGTTTCACCTTTTTGTGCATGCGTGTGTGTGTGTGTGTGTGTGTGTGTGTGTGTGTGCGCGCACGCGCCCGTTTAGGTACTGGGAATCAAACTCAGGACCTTGCGCTTGCCAGGCAGGAACTTGTGCCGCTGAGCTACATCCCCGGCCCATCGTGCGTTGTTAATTCTTTTTTGTTGCTGAGTAATATTTCACTGTATGATGTACCACTGTCTATCTGTTTTCCAATTGGATTGTCTCTAAGTTTAGGTGATTGCCAGTAAAAGTGTTACTATATGCATTTGAGTATAGCTTTTTGTTGGAAGATAGTTTTAAAAATTTTAGTTGGGTAAATATGCAAAGGAGTACAGTGGCTGGACCACACTGTAAATATCTGCTTAACTTTGTAAGAAACTGGCAAACTTTGCTCTAAAATCTGTACCACTTTGCAGGCCTGCCAGCAGAGCACGGGGCTTTCTGTTGCTTTGTAGCCTTGCTTTTGCACGGTCAGCATTTTTGCCATTTTAATAGTGTAGTGATATCTCATTGTGGTTTTATTTGTACCTCCCTAATGATTAACGATCTCAAGCATCTTCTCCTAGTCAGCTGCTCTCCCCGCCCACATACACACCCTGAGTTGGGGTCTCAAACTAGGTTGGCAACTAGCAATCCACAATCCTCAGTTTCCAGGAATGGTACCTTCAGGCGCACGCCACTGTGCCTGGCTTCCATTCTCTTCTGTAAAGCAATTTTAGTGCTTTTTATTATTATTATTATTTATTTTTTGTCTTTTTGAGGCAGGGTCTCCCTATGCAGTTCAGGCTGTTGAGCTCACTTTGCTGGTCTCGAACTCACAACGATCCTCCTGCCTCAGCCTCCTGAGGGCTGGGATTACAGGCGTGTACCACAACTCCCGGCTTTTAATTTTAGTGCTTTTAAAGGGACTAACGAATTGACAATGTCACCTTTTGGAGTTTTTGTCCTGTATCTGCACCTGTCCTGTTACAATCCTCCAAGCTCACGTGGGAGGATGGACCTGTCCAGCCCTCAGGAGTGTGGACATGCATGCAGTGTCTCCTGGTGTAAACGGGGATGTCAGTGAGCTTCTAAGGGAGGTCAGACTGTGGAGACTGCTGTACTTCCTTTGAAAGTTCTTTAGGAAAAAGAGTCTTCTCTCTGAGAAAGCACCAGTCTGTTCGGTTCCTGTGACCCAGCTCACCAGGGACAAAGGTAGGGGGTGAGAGGGCAAAGAGAGGGGCTCCTGGGGGCTCACCTGACGCGGGGCCAGCCCTCCTACCTTGCCATACCACAGGTAGTGCTCTGCCTGGGTGCGGAGCAGAAAGACGTCGTTGGAATTGAGGGAGGCGGCGAAGGCTGGAACCTCCACTGCTTTGGTGTTAAATTTGTCGTTCCCTTGAATCTGGAAGAGTCTTACTGGAGGGTCGGGCTCAGCAGTTCCCTTCCTAGAAGTCCCACCCTAGAGAGAAGGAGAAAAGCAGAGCCCAGGTCTACGCAGCACCATGTGAGCACCAGGCTGACGTTAGGGACGCGTGGATGAATCTGGCACGTCTCTGCCCTAACTGGAAAGGGTCAGGGTGACTGGGGTTTTGGTACCAGTAATACTTCCTGCTATCTTTCCCTCCCCTGCCCTCCCCTCTCCTCCTTTTCCTCCCTGTCCGTCTTTCCTTCCTTCCTTCCTTCCTTCCTTCCTTCCTTCCTTCCTTCCTTCCTTCCTTCCTTCCAGGTCACACTATATATTCCAGTAGTCCAGGTTAGTAAAGCTCCTGCCTCAGCCTCCCAAGTGCTGGGATTACAGATAGGCTACCTTGCCCGTCGATATCAGCTTTCATTCTGAGAACTCTGTCGTAGGCAGGCTCTGACTAGTGCCTTACATGTCAGTGATCCTCATGAAAACTCTATGAAGCAGATATTATTCAACAGGTAGATGAGGAAACTGAGATTTAGAAACCTGCACGTCTGTAATCCCAGCACTCGGGAGGCTGAGGCAGGAGGATCACTGTGAGTTGAGACCAGCCTGGGCTACAAAGTGAGCTCAAGGCCAGCCTGAACTGCACAGTGAGACCCTGCCTCAAAAACACAAGGAAAAAAAAAAAAAGAATATAGAGACCTGGCTAGTAAATGAGGAGAGTAGGACTTAGCCCCAGGCTTGGGTGATTCTCCAGCATGTGACATTATGCATTGTCTGCTACTGCTTCAGCCCGGGCTTCACGAAGAAGTAGGACATTACGGTTTATATCTGGATGTTCCCCTCAAAGCCTCGTGCACTGATAGGTGGAGATTTGGGAGGTGGTCACGGGGCGTGATACTCAGCAGTGCATTAGCCCACTGGTCGTCAGCTTAGAGCTAAGTATGATGTTGGGAGCTGGAGCCTGCTCCAAGGAGGTGACTCACTGGGGGCGTGGCCTGCAGGGGTCTAGCTCCTTCTCTCCTTGCTCTCTCTTGCTTCCTGCTGCCCTGCCATGAACTGTTCCTCCTCTGCCATGCCCCTCGGCCATGCTGCCCTGCCTTGAAGCCAGCCGACTATGGACTGAAATCTCTACAAATCGTGAGCCAAAACAAACCATTCCTCCTTAGAGCTGTGAGTGTCCAGTTATTGTGCCTCCAGGATGAGACAGTAACTAAGACATGAGGCTCACATCTTAGGGGCACATCTGAGGGGTGGGGGGAGATTGGCACGTGTGAGGTCTAGAGAGGAGACCCACCTGACTGGAGAGGAGGGTGTGGGTCTGGAGTGACGGGTAATGCCCTGCACAGTCATGGGGGTCAATTTATGAAAGCCCTTGAACTTGAATTAGATTGCTTTGGACTTGAGGCTCCGGGCATTTGGGGTTTCCTTGAGTATCTTAGATTCACCCCTTATTTTGTTGGTTTGTTTTGTTTGTTTGTTTGTTTGTTTTTTGTTTTGTTTTCCTCCGGTACGGGGAACCGAACTCACAACCTTTCCCTTGCCAGGCAGGCACTTTTGCCGCTGAGCTAAATCCCCAGTCCCTGTTGGTTTGTTTTTTATTTTTATTTTTTTTGTCTTTTTGAGTCAGGGTCTCGCTATGCAGTTCAGGCTGGCCTTGAGCTCACTTTGTAGCCCAGGCTGGTCTCAAACTCGAAATGATCCTCCTGCCTCAGCCTCCACAGTACTGGGATTACAGGCGTGCAGCCACCACGCCCGGCTCACCCCTTGCTTTATACTAACTCAAACCTGGCTTCCCACTCTAGCTCACCCCACACCGCCTCATCTCGTGGGTAGCTTGCTACCTGATTGTTAGTTCTGAGCTTCCTGCTCGCGCCGCAGCTTTACGCAGGGGTCCTTACCTCATAGATAACAAGCTTCCCTTGGAAGATGGCCATGAAGTGGCGTGGCTCCTTCCCCATGCTGACCCGGACCTGCACCGGGGCTCCGTCAAACTGCCGGTCCAGCTCTACGGCCTGGTATGCTGAGGCTGCCAGCTCATCCCGGGAGGCGTGGCGGCCCTGCCGTGGTGGGAGGGGCATTATGGTCCCGCCAGCTGGGGAGCCCAGGGAGAATTCCATCCAAAGCTGAGACCCTGCCCCCGGCCTACCTGCCAGATGTATAAGATGTAATTTGGCCTGCCGTTCACCTCGTATGTGTAGAAAACCAAATAGCAGTCTCCGCCATAGAAGAAGCCGTACCACTGACGCTCCACGGGCACCAGCTCGAGGTTCTCAATTCGCCAGACCTGGGCAGGAGAGAGTTCCGCAGAGATGGGCACCCTGCCCAGAGTGCTGCGAAGGGACGTGGGCCGTGTTTCACGGGGACCCACGGGGCCAAGGCGCTAACCTCCCCCCAGGACCCCTCCCCCTCTTTCCTCCTCTGCCAGGGCTCAGGGCTCAGCACATTTGCATGATTTGAATCCTGAGGCTGGGTCGTCCGGTCAGGTGCACCCTGGTGTACCGGCAGGTTCCTCGCAGGCCAAGTGGTGATTTGAATATATCTGCCGGGGAGTTATTGACAGCCCACGCGGGGAGGTGTCCTTCGCTTCCCAGAAGCATTGTGGGGACACCCTCTCTCCTCGGAAGCGTCTTTGATTTGGTTTTTTGGTGGTTGTTTTTTGTCTTTTTGAGACAGGGTCTCAGTGTGTAGTTCAGGCTGGCCTTGAGCTCACTTTGTAGCCCAGGCTGGCCTCAAACTCGCAAGGATCCTCCTGCCTCAGCCTCCCGAGTGCTAGGATTACAGGCGTGCCCCACCATGCCCAGCTGGAAGCCTCTTTGACAATAGGGGGGAAGAAGCAAACAGACAGAATGACCCGCCCTCCACACAGCAGGAGGGGCAGCTGAGACGGGGCGGGCCGCTCTCGCCGGGCTCACCTCGACTTTCCCGTGGCCGTCGTCCACCATCCTCTCCTGGGCAGCTAGCTCTGGCTTGGCGTGCAGCACAGTCACGTCGAACTTGTCCTGGAAAACCTTAGCTGTAGAGAAGGGGTTGGGAAAACCCAAGTAAGCAAGACGCGCCCGTGCCTGTCTTCTCAGAGCCGGCAGGAAGAGGGCGCTCTGGGGAGACGCTCACCAATTCTACCAACGCTGAATGTTTTTCCCAGGCCCGCGGTCTGGTCCTTCACGGACCATCTCTGGAACAGCTGCTTGAACATGGCGGACTCGGCACCGTCGTTGACGGTCTCCACGTTGGTGCTGCCGGGGTAGCCCTTCATCTTGATGAAGCCCTGCACCCCAACCCATGCAAAGGCAGGTCAGCCAGGGAATACACCAAGCTCTTGGCTTCAGGTAATTCATCTCTTTGAAATCAGTCGGTAGGATCCCGCCTTCCCTCTGGGAGTCAGGATCCAATTCTAACTCACTGTCCGGCGTGGTGGCGCACGCCTGTAATCCCAGCACTTGGGAGGCTGAGGCAGGAGGATCCTTTCGAGTTTGAGGCCAGCCTGGGCTACAAAGTGAGCTCAAGGCCAGCCTGGACTGCATAGGGAAACCCTGCCTCACAAATACCAAAAAAAAAAAAAAAAAAAAAAAAGAACCAATTCTAACTCACTTCCTGCTGACTACCAAGTTGTCTGCCTCAAAAAATAACGGAGTGGAACATTGTCACTTCTCTCCGCTGGCCTGTTGTGATTAGGTTATCCCTGTTTGTGCAAGACCTGAGCTGGCTTTCAGCACTGGCTGTAACTCTGCCGACTTTCCGACACAATCACCTGCTCATTGATTGCTCCGTAAGCACATCTTGCCTGGGTCATCTGCTGTGTCTGCCCAAGTGTCATAAGCTCTTTGAGGATAGGACCATTAACCTCGATGCGACATTTCCTTCAGTAGTCATAGTCACCTATTATGGAGCAGGTGCTGTGTGCCAAGTACTATTCTGAGTGCTATATAAGTGGTATTTAATCCTCACAACCACCCTGGAAGATGGGTATTAACCTTGTGGTCGGTATTAGGAAATTGGGGCTCAGTGGGACTTGGTAGTCTTCCCCAGGACACTCAGATGAAAAACAAGTAACTGGCCAGGCCAGGCATGGTGGCGCACACCTGTAATCCCAACACTCAGGAGGCTGAGGCAGGAGGATCATTGGGGGTTTGAAACCAGCTGGGCTACAAAATGAGTTCAAGGCCAACCTGAACTGCATAGTAAGACCCTGTCTCAAAAAAACAAAAAATAAGCCGGGCATGGTGGCGCACGCCTGTAATCCCAGCACTTGGGAGGCCGAGGCAGGAGGATCGTTGCAAGTTTGAGACCAGCCTGGGCTACAAAGTGAGCTCAAGGCCAGCCTGAACTGCATAGTGAGACCCTGTCTCAAAAAGACAGAAAAGACAGAAGCCCACTTTGCATCTGTCTGACCTCAGGTCTATGTACATAACCACAATGTTCTAGCTCAAATGCTGAGCGTGGCACCCTGCGCACATCTGAAACGACGCTGGCAGAATTACTGCACGTCTGTCTGTAGCTCCTACCAGGGCTTTCGACATGGCCGCCTGTTTCTCAACCTTGGAGGCTCCTCTCCCTTTCCACACGTATATCTTGGTTCCGCCTTGGTCCAGGATGTAGCAGTCCTGCAGCAGTCGGAGATAAAGGTGGCTGTGGCTGCTCAAGACCAGAAGGAAGGATTTTCCCAGGGTCTGCTCCTGACACCAGGTCTGGCTAGCCCAGGATAGGTCCCTTCAAGCTCTACTTACATCATGGTTCAGCAAGTCCTGGACCAGCGGCCTCGTGGACACCTCTGTGACCGCCAGCTGCCCGGCTGAGTCGGAGACGCTGGAGAAACGGGGAGGTTAGCGCGGTCACCTGGATGCTTTAGTGTGGAGTCTCAGGGTAGCATTTGACTTCCTTTTGTTTTGTTTTGTTTTTTTTCCGGTACCGGGGATTGAACTCACGACCTTGCGCTTGCCAGGCAGGTGCTGTGCCGCTGAGCTAAATCCCCAGCCCCATTTTTTTTTTTTTTTTTTGGTTTTGCGTTTGACTTCTTAAGACACACACAGCTTGTACGCAGACAGGAATGTATAGACTGTGTTTTCTGGCGGAGACTTCTGTGCCTGTCTATCCCAAACTGAATCCCTACCCCTCCCTGGGCGTGTGTGGACCACAGTACAGGAAAGGCCTCCGGAAGAGGTCAGGAGAATTGCTACAAGAACAGAACACGGTTGGCTCCGGAGGAACAAGCCCAGGGGTTGGGAGGGGGTGTCTCTGGGCTCTGGGCTCCTTCCAGGAACTGAATTTGAAAAGGACCAAGTAAGGGCCGGGGATGTAGCTCGCTGGCACAAGCGCCTGCCTGGCAAGCACAAGGCCCTGAGTTTGATCCCTGGTACGGCAAAAAGAAAAAGAGAAGGACCAAGTAGCCAGGCACAGTAGCGCATGCCTGTAATCCTGTGACTCTGGTAGGCTGAGGCAGGAAGATCACAAGTTCAAACTCAGACCAGGCAACTAACTGACTGAGACAAAACATAAAAAAAAAAAAAACAAAAAAAAAGGAGGAAGAAAGATAAATCAAAAGAAAAGCCAAACAAACACACACACACACACACACACACACACACACACACACACACACACGCCAGGCTGCTGGAATGCCGGGTTTTCCTTTTTGAGGGGGAAGTCACCAGGAATGGAACTCAGGACCTCACGCTTGCCAGGCAGGCGCTGTGCCACCGAACTACACCCCCAGCTCCGAATGCCTGGTTTTCTAGGGGACGTCTTCCCTCCACCAGTTTCCAACCGACAGCCAGGTTTTGCTACTCACTGATACAACATGGTATTTGACTTCTGCTGCTGATCTATGATCTCATCAGGGACCGCAGGCTTGATAACAGAGCGTCGGCCAAGGGTGTCCTGAAGGACGGTCATCAGCTCCGGGCTGGCTGCCTCCCTGTCGCCCTCGATCACTCCTATCTCAGCACGGCCCCCGCGCTCTCGGTCTCGAATATCCTTTGCCAGAAGCATAGCCTGTCAGAGAAGTCCAGGACACATTCGGCTCACCTGGGCCCCTTTCTGCGTGAAGGCTCCAGTGGGGCACATCCGGGAACCCAGGCACAGAGGTACTCTGATGCCGAGAAGTCCTGAGGTGAGTCTTGCATGTGACCTGTCTGCAACACAGAGCCTGCTCACCGGACGCGGCGGTGCACGCCCGTAATCCCAGTACTCGGCAGGCTGAGGCAGGAGGATTGCTGCAAGTTTGAGGACAGCCTGAGCTGCAGAGTGAGACCCTGTCTCAAAAAGCCAAACCAGACCAAACCAAACCAAATAAAACAAATAAATACACAAAAAAGACACAGACTGCTGAAACGCTGGGGCCCACCTTGACTCTTGGGGATCGCCATGGAAAGAAAGGGTAAAAGGCACCAGAAGCCTCCCTCAGGACGAGGACAGAGCCCGAGGCGAGAGCCAGACCTTCAGGCGCTCCCCGCTGTTGCTTTCTGGACCATTCCACTGGATGATGACTTTCCCGAGGTCCAGCAGAAAGACATCGCCGCGGTTAAAACTATCCCAGCTCACCTCCACCTGCAAACGGGGGGAAACACAGCTCAGATTCTCAGGTCCCAGGCGGAGAAGCCCTGGCCCAGCACAGCCCACGGACAGCACCTACCTCCGCGGCCCTGATGTTTCTCTTCCCCTTCACGTGCAGCAGCCGCTTCACGTGGTACGTGTTGGTCTCCACGTGCTTCATCCCGGAGGCCACGCCCCCCTTTTTATAGCTGAGGAAACACCCATTATTTATGGAGCACCTGCCCCCGCTAGGTTCCGGGAGCCTGCTCCGCCTGACACAGAAGCAGCCTCCACCCATCGGGGGGAAAACAGCAAACGCTCCAGGTAACCGCCGCCCCGCAGCACACGGGGCCTGTTCCATCCTCGGAGCTGTCTGTCCGTGCGCAGCGAGGCGGGGCCGGAAGTCAGGCAGAGGGAGAAACAGTGATGGGGCCATGGCCCGCGACCACCCACCCCAGCGGCCTGCCCCTGCAGCAGCGGGGCGTATCCCAGGCCTCCTGCGGGTGGTGCCCGGTGCCCAGCAGGTCCTCAGTGAGGACTGCCAGGCTGCAAGGAGCTGGCCTTGACCCGGGCTCAGAGTTCTTGAGCTTATTGGAGTTCCCCTTTCTGTTTTATTCCCAAGTGCGCAGCTTTGAGTTAAATGAACTCCTCAGTTCATGGAACATTATCACGGCTGGCCTGGGAGCCCCTCCTGTGGGAAGCCTCCCCGTGCTCCCTGCAGTCTGCGCACCCTCCTCCCGTTGCTTCCCCCACCTCAGGCTTCCATTCTTCCAGTGCACCAGCTCCCTTTATTTGTATTCTAATACAGTGTGTCCTGCTGCTCGTGTGCATTGTATCTGTAAAACACAGGTTGATTTCTGTTTTTCTTTTGTTGTTTTTTTTTTTTTTTGTCTTTTTTGAGACAGGGTCTCGCCATGCAGTTCAGGCTGGCCTTCAGCTCACTTTGTAGCCCAGGCTGGCCTCGAACTCACAACGATCCTCCTGCCTCAGCCTCCCGAGTGCTGGGATTACAGGCGTGCGCCACCACGTCTGGCTGTAAAACACAGTTTGATATTCGTGTTTCTTGCTCACCAGCCCCCATGTCTGAGAGATGTGTCCCAGTGCCGGATGTGCATCTAGTCTGGTGCTTCTGGTACCTGTGCCCAGTCTCCTGGTGATGACATTGACGTTGCCCAGAGCTTTCTACCAGCATTAATCATCCTGTTTTGTGTGCTCTGGTTCCTGTGCTCCTATGGACCCAGGGGACGTGAGGGTTTCTTTGAGATACACACCTATAAGTGGGATTTGCTTTAGTGCCACTGATACTTTCCAGGCTGCATGCAGGCCACACCCCCACTGGGAGGGGACCAGGCTCCGTTTCCCCACAGCCTGGCTTGGTGCCACGCTGCTCTCTAATTTGCACTACTCTGGACTTTTTTTTTTTTTTTGGTCTTTTTGAGACAGGGTCTCACGCTGCAGTTCAGGCTGAACTTGAGCTCACTTTGTAGCCCAGGCTGGTCTCCAACTCCCAACGATCCTCCTGCCTCAGCCTCCCGAGTGCTGGGATTACAGGCGTGCACCACCACGCCCAGCTCCTTGGCTTTCTTTCTGTGTGTTCTGGCCCGGTGGGTTTCCTTCTCGGCAGTCTGCCGTTTCCGCCCTTGCTCTGTGTGTCACCACTACTCACATGATGCCCTGCTTGAAGTAGCCGCGGAAGGTGTCGGACTCATGGTCCTGGACCTCTCGGTGCTGCACGGGGCTTCCTCCCAGGTAGTCGTCCAGCTGAATGGTGTAGATGGCGGCACAGCTCTGCTCGTCCTGGGAGGAGTCTTTCCCAATCCAGAAGTGGATGTTCTGGGAGAGGAGACTGCCCACTCTCCGAGTCTGGGTACAGCCGGAAAGACCAGGTCAGGGCCCGGCTCGCCTCCCCTCTGCTGCTGGGCCCTCTGGCATAGGGAGAAGGCAGCACACAGCGGCTTGCATCCTGCCTTGGTAGGGTCGGGGCCCTTCTCTGTCCCTGGACTGGGTGACACAGCTGCCCTGTCCCCTGTGCAGACCTGCTACTGTGACTCAAACTTTGGGGCTTGAATTCCTCCCTACACTTGGGAAAGCTGACAGCTGGTTATTCCTAAAATAAATGGAGACCCCGGGACCTTTCCCCAGACGGACTGCACACTCACCTTCCAGGGCCCAGCTGTACACCTGCTCATGCACAGCTGGTGTGCACGTCTGTGCGGCCCTGCCAGTGCTGCTCGCGGGAGAGATTGTTTCCTGCACTAGACCGAGCCTTCTGATGCCGCAGGCAGGCCTTAGGTTCGGCCTCCCCCACCCCCTTTCAGGGCGGTGCTTGCGCCCTGGGAGTGAGAAGTGCTACTCGTGGGCGGTGTGCTGAGGGCCCCAGCCTGCCGGCCGATGCCAAATGAAAAGCTCAGGACGAACAACGACCTTCCGCCGTCGGGCTGGAGGCGCGCTCCGCCCAGCGCTGGGCAAGAGCCGAGACCGATACCAGGAACACACATTCCTCTTACCAGCAGACCACTCAGCAGAGCCTGGAACTGGCTCTCGGGGGAGAAGCCCGCAGGAGAGGGCGGGCGGTGCTCACCGAGAGGACAATGTAGCAGTCGCCCTCGTAGAAGTTGCCGTGGGCGCTCAGGGGCACCAGTACCAGCTCCATTTTCTGCAAGGACAAGGGATGCACAGAGGCAGCGTTCCCCCTCTCCTCCCGCCACGCGACCTCCCTCAGCTGCCCCTGGCACGGGTGGTAGGAGACAATGGCGGGGTCCCCGGCGCACAGGGTTCATACGGCTGCTGCGAGCGCTGTCTACCAAACCCGGGGCCCACATCCGGGTCCCACGCGGGTCTTCCTTTCCCTGTCCTCCTCCCGCGGCCGGCTCGGTCTCATCTCTCCGTGCTGTGTGGAGCCTTACCGCCCCTGCAGCCCTTTGCAGGGGGAAGAGGAGGGTGTGAACTGCCGAGCACCCCACGTGCAGCCCCAGCAGCCAGCCACCGGTGCTCATCCACCTGACCACCTGCGGGTCTGCTCCGCAGGAGCGCGGAGGTGGGGAGGCTGGTGGCCTCGAGGGTACCGGACTGCTGGCCATGCGTCCCATTTTTGGAGCCTGGGCTGTGGCCCTGATTTGTCACTGCGTGTACTGCTGGTCCCGGGAGGGCCAGCCACACAGCCTCAGATGTAGGTTTTCATCACTGTCCAGGTGAGGAAAACCTGCAGGCATACTGTGCGTGTTCTGTGTCAAGTAGGTGTGTTAAATGTAGAAAGATTAAATACAGCTGCAATTTTTGCAACCCTACCTTAGTACCTATTCATTTTTAAGTAAAGTGGGAAACAAAATGATGCAGGCGGCCTGGGTCTGTCCAAGCTCTGAGCGCCTGGCTGAGGACGGTGACCCACCCTTCCTAACTGAGGGGAGAGCAGGGAGGCCTCACTGCTGGTTCTACACAGCAGCAAATGACTGGGTTGGGAGCGGACGTGTCCTCACACCGGGCAGTGGAGCTACCCAGCCCAGAGCTCCCGGCTCACAGTCACTCTGAGGGAAGCTGCCCTGGGGGGGCGCAGGGGGAGGGAGGAGCAGCAATGCCCCATCTGTGCCGCATCCCTGCCCACATTTCTTTTTTAAAAATTTTTTTTGTCTTTTTGAGACAGGGTTTCGCTATGCAGTTCAGCCTGGCCTTGAGCTCACTTTGTAGCCCAGGCTGGCCCTGAACTCTCAACAATCCTCCTGCCTCAGCCTCCGCAGTGCTGGGATTACAGGCGTGCACCACCACGCCTGGCTCTTGAATTTTGAATTATGTTGTCTTTCCTTTTTAGTCCAAACTGGTGCTGCTTTCACTCTTAAACTCTCTATAGCTGGATGTGGGGACATCGTTCTGTAATCACAGCTACTCTAGAGGCTAAGGCAGGCTGAGGCAAATTCAATGCCAGCCTAGGCAATCTGAGGAGACCTTGACTCAATTTTTTTTTTTTTCTTTTGAAACAGGGTCTTGCTATGTAGTTGAGGTTGGCCTTGAACTCACTATGTAGCCCAGGCCAATCTCAAACTTCGATCCTCCTGCCTCAGCCTCCTAAGAACTGGGAGTACAGGCATATTCCTTCATTCTAGCCTCTTTTTTTTTTTTTTTGGTCTTTTTGAGACAGGGTCTAGCTGTGCAGTTCAGGCGGGCCTTGAGCTCACTTTGTAGCTCAGGCTGGTCTTGAACTCACAGCAATCCTCCTGCTTCAGCCTCCCGAGTGCTGGGATTACAGGTGTGCACCTCCACGCCCAGCTTCTTCTGTCCACACTTTATAGGAGCCAGAGTCCAGGAGGAGGCCCGTGCTATGTTTTGTTTCTCTGATGGGAGTGTCCGTGAGCCTCCGGAGAGAGTCCCACCCATCTCTCCGGGACGCTAACTGACAGTGCAGACTCGCTGAGTGGATGGCTGGATAAAGAATAAGCTAAGCTTGTCTCAGAGCCCTGCTTTCCAGAGTTGAGAGCCTTCTTCCACCTACAGCTACCCGCTCTGAGTACCAGGGAGAGGCAAGGCCGGGGAAACGTGCACTCTGACGCTGCCTGTCCCTGTTCTCAAACCGCGGACTCAGGAGGGCTGGAGGGCTGTTCTCAGCGGGCGCTGGATTCTGCCCGCAGATGCCAGTGGTCAGGAGCAGGGAGCAGGTTCCGGCTCACCTCGATCCTCCAGGTGATGATCCCAGGGTCGTTGCCCACAGCCCTGAAGGCACTGCTCAGAGACATGGCGCTTGTCTTCCCAGGACTGAAACATCACAGAGCAAGAGGTGATGCCCCTCGCGCTGGGCATCAGTCCGGCTCTCCCCGCAGTCCCTTCCCGATCTGCTCCGCCATCCCGCCACGTCCTGGTGGTGCACACACCCACGCCTTCCCACCAGCACGGGGCAAACAACTCGATCAAGTCCACGGTGAACGTGGCTGGCTCGGTCCCGCCTGCAAGTCCCGCTTCTAAACCCACCTCTTCCTGTGTAAGTGCCTAGGAGACGCCCGGGGGCAGCGGGCGGTACATGTTCAGCGTACATTATCATTTTGCATACATTATCTCATTTAATTTTCAGGTGAGCGTATTTTCTTCATGTCAGGCTGTAATAACCTTGAGGCTGAGAGAGGTGAAAGAACTTGCCCGAGGGCACACACACAGTAGAAGGAGATCCGCATCCGACCTTAACATCTGTGCTTCCGGCCACTTTGGCATACTGAGACCCTTCACAGGCTTATCTAAATTCTGTGGCATGTGGGGGTAAAACCTGATCAGAAAAACTATTTCCAAACCGAGTAACTTCCTACCACCTTATTGGCCCCTGCTCTTCCCAGATCTCTGCTTTCAGAGTCCCTCATGTCACCTCTTTGGGATCTTTTTTTTTTTTTTTTTTTTTCTTTTTTGAGACAGGGTCTCACTATGCAGTTCAGGCTAGCCTTGAGCTCACTTTGTAGGTCAGGCTGGTGTCAAACTCGAGACAATCCTCCTGCCTCAGCCTCCCCAGTGCTGGGATTACAGGTGTGTGCCACCATGCCTGGCTTTTCCTTTTTTTTTTTTTTTTTTTTTTTTTTTTTTTTAAAGTGAAGGGACTGGGGATCTAGCTTAGTGCCACAAGTGCCTGCCTGGTAAGCACAAGGTCCTGAGTTTGATTCCCTGTACCAAAAAAAAAAAAAAAAAAAAGTGAAATAGCCTACGGCTCTACCTTCTCTGCCTTTGTCATATGACTAATATATTCCCTGGGCCTTTCAGCTGGGGTTGGGACCAAGGGTGCAGGGCGTTGGCAGAGGAAGGTGGGTGTGGCCTGGCTTGCCAGGCAGGGGCAGATGGGTCCTCCCCTCAGCACACAGAAAACTTGGAGGTCTCCAGTTCCGTGGGCGTCAGCAAGGCAGGGCTGGCAGACAAGGAAGTGGGGAAGGGAAGTCTGCATGGCTTCAGGGCTCTTAGTCAAGGTGTGGTGTGGTTTATTAGGAACCCGTGCATGTCCAGGTCGCCTGTGAACTTTACGTCATTTTTCTCCCTCGGTAATTCCTGCTACCAAGGAGCTGTCAATATAATAAGCACCACAAATAACCGGGTTTTTTTGTTTGTTTTCCGGTACCGGGAATCGAACTTACAACCTTGCGCTTGCCAGGCAGGCGCTGTGCCGCTGAGCTAAATCCCCAGCCCCAAGCACCACAAATAAATACTAGTGTCTCCCAAGATTCAAAGGGAAGATGACGGGATGGATGGGTTCATGTAGGACTTTAAGAATGTGCCATGGAAGGACGGTACGGACTTTTGCCACTGGGAGGCAAAAGGCACTTGTTAGGAGAATGCGTAGGGTTGGGGGTGCAGGTCAGGCCACTTCCCCTGCGTATTCAGGGTCCCGGGTTCAATCCGCTGCACACAGGCAGGCACACAAAGACGAGCCTATCTGCCCGTTCTTCTCTTGAAACCAGGTCTGGAGAGTACATGCCATTGTCTAGTGTGGTCTTGGCAAACAAAACAAGAAGAGCGAACGCCCTTTGTGCACTGTGAACAGAGGACTAAAGTAGAGCAATGGTTCGGAGCAGCCAGTGTTTGAGGATTTAATTCAGTAACTTACACAGCCCCACCCCGTGCTGCTCGGAACTGCCAGGAAATGTGTCTGGATTTTCTGCGAACCCTAGATTTTCTGCGAACACGCATGGCCCGACCGGGGGAAGGGGACCAGGGCCAATTCACTCATTCCTTGGAGACGGGAAGTGTCAGCTTGGTAAAAGCCAAACCAACTGGCATTAACTAGGCCTGAATCTCGGAGACCAAAAGCAATCTCACTTTCTAGTAGACTTGAAATTGGGAAGCAGCTCATGCGGCCGGGAACCCCCAACGCAGGCCAGGGTGCGCTCCAAGAGGGGCCTTCTTACCCACGGGACCCCCCCAGAAAACCCAATTCCACCTGCAATACCAAAATCCCCTCAAAGCTGGGTCTCTCCCTTCTAAGTCCTAGTTTGCTAATTCAGTACCCTCTAGGACTGCGGAGATCCCTGGAGCTGGTGCCCCTTCCTCTCAGAGCTGCCCCTGTGGCTGGACCCCACAGGAAGCTAGTTTTCACTTCCACCTTGCCTTTCCCACTTTGAAAATGCGCCTGACCCCTTCAGGGGGCAAAGGATGGCCTCTGTACGTCTCAACGGGGAGTTTGCAAAATTGGCCACAAACTCCGCGTTGAATCCTTTAAAAGCCTCAACCCAGAAGAGAAAGCCCAAGTAATTTCCACCTCCTGCTCCTTCCTTCATTCAGGATTGTTCAGCTGAGCAGCAGCCATAAACGAGACACCTTACCTCTGTCTTCCTAGTCTCCTGGTGAGCAGGCAGTAGCAGTTCCCAAGAACTACCCCGAAGCAGCACCTCCGGTCCGGCCGTCTCAGCCTAATGGCTGCACAGGCTCTGGGTGATATTTGCTTGTGTTTGCATCTTTACTGCATTTTCCTAGTCCTGGCCAATCACAGGCTTGACTTATTCAAACCGGAGGGAAAGCTTTATCTGTTGTTATTCAAAGCAGCAAAAACAAGGAGAGTGGACTTTTAAGGGCGTCTTTTAACTCCAGCTCCACGCCCTGATCTATTGATTTTTTTTTAAGTGTAGAGTCCATCAATAATGCAAAAAGAGACAGGGAGGATATGAAATTTGCCATATTGTAGATATGAATGCATTACGCTGATGACAGCAGGTGGAGGCTGGGGCTGCCTGCTGCGTGCGCCTGGACGTCCAGGCTGCCGGAGCCTCTCCAAGAAGCTTCTGGCCAATTCTTAGGGGCGTCAGGTGGGTCTCCACCAGCCCAGTGTACCTGTGTACGAGGAACCACGCTGGGCTCTGAACTTCAGGTCTCTGGGTTTGGAAAGATCGGAACGGGACACGAGGGACTTGGGGCTCCAGTTTCCCTAGGGCTCTGGTTCATGCCCGGAAGTCAATAGGACAGCAAGCTGCTTGTTAAGCACCTGGACAGCAATGGAGTTGGCTCCAAGTGGGAACCATGGACAAATGGAGTTCGACTTCTGTAACCTTGACTGGAAGCCCAGCACTGGCTCCGCTTGGGTGCTGCAGCTTCCCCGGGACCCAAGAGCCAGTAAGAGCAGAAGGGTTGTACCCACGACCACCCCCAGTACTCCACAGGGAAGGCAGGCAGCTCCCATCTTGGGTAGGTTTTAAAAAACCCGCTTTTATTAATTAATTGTAAGTAATACAAATATTCCAAAAATATAAACAGACACTTAATGGCGTCCTACATTTCAAGTTTTTGAATACAACGAATTTATCAAATCATGAAGCAAGGTAGTCAGAATCCCATAGCCCGGTCACAGCGGGAAGCGGACCTCCTCCCCTCCCAATGGCATCTTCAAAGGGGATCACAGCAAACTTGGGGTAATTAGAAGCAAAGAAGCTCATGGGGCGGAGGAGGAGGGAGTCTGCTCCGGGGACTGCGGGCCAGACCCCCCCACCTCTTCTCCTGTGGTTGAATATGCGGATATTTACTTGCGTTTAAAAAAAAGGCAAAAGACAAAACCAAGCCATTTCAGAAAAAACGGTGGTTGAAGGACAGTAACACTTACGACCAAGTGAAGGGCAGAGGGGGAAAACGGGCTTACCTTCCTCCAGCACCCGGCCCGCTGGGCCATTCGGCGCAGGCCAGCTGTGCGAGCGGCTGCCCCGACGTGAAAACTCAGAAGGGGCGGGCAGCAGAACCAGGGAATCACCGCCTTGAGACCCCTCCGCTTTCAGTACAAAAGAACTCCTGGGCCACTGTTAACAGAGCTGAACTCATACGTTTACACAAAAATCTTTGGGAGGAAGGAGGGAACTAAATGGAAGGTCCCAGGTTAACTGAAGGCAAACTCACTCGAGCAAAGGACCCCCGGGCCTCCAGGGCGTCCCCTCTACAATGTGCAGAGAGGAAGCCCTTATCTGACCCGTTACCGAACTGGTCCTGTGCCAAAGCTCCCCCTATAAGAGGGACGAGAACATCAGGCTTTTGATTTAGAAGCCCAATCAGAGAGACACACTGTGTCCCTGAAGAGGCACCTTGGAGAGCTGAACCTGGCGGGTGGGCAGAGTCCAGCATGGCTTGAGCGGGTGCCGACGCCAGGCCCAGCGGCCTGCGGGCTCCCGGAGACCAGTCTGGAGGAGCGGCTTCCTCCCCGCCTCGCCCTCCTCCGTTAGGTACGGCTGCCTGGCTCCTCCGGGAAGCTGCAGTCACCGCTGGCCCCAACACTGTGACACTAGCTGGCGGACAGCGGATGCTGACTTCAGGCCCGCGGCCGCCCTCGTTTAGATTTGGCCACGTTGCTTCTCTGGGAAAGGGAATGGAGGGAGCTCGACCAGGAAAACCTGCGCTCAGCGAGCCAGCAGGCGGGCTCTCACACGGGCGGGGCCTGGGAAGCCGGGCCTGGGGCAGGAGCGCGGGACACTCCCACCAAGCCATCCTAGGCTTCGGCGCGGGTCACACCTCACGCACTGGGACAAGCCTGACCGGAATGGGGGTGGCACGCGTTCTCCGTGCGGGAAAACACGGACATCTCAGAGAGGGCAGAAAGGGTTCCTGAACTCCATCAGCTCAGGGCCTCTTATTGCTTCGTCAGAAAAGCCTGGCCAGGCCAAGCGACAGGAGACTTGGCTGAGGCCTACGCTCGGGGCAGAGCTCGGGAGAGACGCCCGTCCTGTGGTGTTGGAACGGCAGCAGAGGCCAGGGCCGGCGTCTCTCGCGCACCTGTCCTTGGCGTCCGAGCGTCCCCTTTCCTTCCGCAGACGGCCTTCCTGGCTAGCACCGGGAGCCTCTGCCTCCACCTGCGGGGGGGCCCCCGGCGGGCTGGGTGCTCTGTACCACCTCTGCCAACCAAGAGAAAGGCAGGGCGGCCCCACCGAGCCGAGGAGGGAAGGTGACACAACGGGCCCGGCCGCGCAGCTGCACTCCCGACGCCCAGCCGCCGCTCTGCCACCTGGCCCCTAACCGGTGAGTTCCTGAGGCCGAGGCGGGACCTACCCTGCGGAAACTGCGAAGGTGGCTAGGACGAGTCCCGAGTGGTCAGCGCACCCGCTCCGGAAGCGATTCACAAATGCTTGGTGATGTCCACCTCCAGGGAACACGGAGACGGGGACAGCATCGCCCCCCATCCCAGGAGGGAGGGAGGGAGAGCCCCACCCGATCCCGGGGGAGGCCTTGATTAAGGCAGTGACGCTGAGGTGGGGTCCCCCTCGCAGAGGGCCCCTTGTGCTCCCAACACAGCAGCACTTCCTCCTCTGCTTCCCACCCCCGCGGGGGGAAATTTCCATTTTGTGACTTTTTTTTTTTAAAGCATTCACTATTAACCATTTTTGAAAGCAAGAGACACCCAGAGTGCAGGTCTGTGAGGGACTCGCTCGCTCGCTCGCTCGCTCGCTCACTCACTCACTCCCGCTGCAGGGGCGGGCGGCTGGCTAACCGTACGGCGAGAACCTGTCCCCCCCGGTTCTGGCAAAGCGGAGTGCTGAGACTCGGAGGGACAGTGACAGATAGGAAGGACGAAGACAGGAACACACATTTCAGCACAGGACGGACGCCCAGGAAGACGCAACAGGAAAGAAGCCTGCCCGAGCCACGGGAGGGGCTGGGGCAGCTTGGACAGCCTTCCCAGGCTCTGGAACGAAGTCCCTGCGCCAGCACCAGCACCAGCACCAGCACCAGCGGATCCCTGAAGAGCGGACTTACGGAGAGCAGAGCTGATGTACAAGGCGAGAAGACGCACGCTCACGCTCCGGGGACTGCACTCTTCCCCGCCCCCCGCACCGCCCACGTTCACCTCGGGCCCAGGATGGCAGCTTTGCCAGACACAAGCCAGGTCCAACATTCCATGTTTAGAAAGAGAATTTCAAAAGAGTCAAAAGAACGGAAATGGGTTATCGGTCCTCTTCCAGGGCTGGCAGCACGCTGCCTTCCCCACGGGATCGGGACTATGGCTAGGTGGTGAGGAAGGGAGGCCCGGCGCCCAAACCTTGGGGAGACACAGACGGGGCCCACAGCAGGTACTCAGCTGATGGCAATAGAACCCTCGGGCCACAGGACCCGACGGTCCCGGGGTCACTGGTTCCGGAAGCAAGTCCTCCTCTTCCCAGAAATGGCATCTTTGATCTGCAGCAGCTGGGCCGGAGAGTTCTCAGAAAGGCGTGCGCCTGGCGCATCCAGGGCAGCTCTGACCCTGCCTTGCCCCCTGCAGAGGCCTTCCAGCCCCGCGGGGAGGCCATGGCTTGGCAACCGAGCCTGCAATCGTAGTCTTTACCCCTGTAAAGCTCAGCGGCTCAGAGAACGGCAGGAGAGATGAACTAACTTGGGAAAAGTCGGTCTTTCAGCTTCTTCCGCTTCCAACGCTGAACTCCCTGGGTCCACACTTCTTCCTGAAGACTCTCACGCACTCTTCCTCTCTCTCGTCACACACAACACACACACACACACACACACAATCTTGGCAGCCGGCCTGGAACAGGCATCTCTGGGTACTGCTGGTGCGCTCCACCCGGCCGGCATGCAGCCTGCCCTGGAGCTCTTTCCAACCACGTCCACTTCCAGGCCCCGTCTGCACAGTGCTCCAGCTTCGCTCTGGCCGTCAGGCTGATCAAAAAGGCACAGTGTAGCAAAGTCCCCTGCCGGGATCGCCGCTGCTCGCAAGCAGGAAGGCTAAGGGGCCCGCAGCTGCCCAAGGCTGGTGTAGACGTCGTCTGCCCCGCTTAGCTCCTCGAAGATTGGAATCAGGTTGAGCAGCTCCGTATCCGCCATGTCATCAAACCAGGACTGCACAGGCACCTGGGGCAGGAGAAGGCGGGGTCAACCTCGCTGCCACCTGTCCCCGCCCTCGCCTGGGAAGCTGCGGGGCCAGCCCGGCTGGGGCACCCCGCTGGGGAGGCCCCTGCTTCCCGAGCCCACTCGCTCTCCCAGTCCCTGCCGGGGGGGCCGCGCGGGACCACGCACCGCGTTCTCCGGGTGGAAGATGTACGACGCCGGCGAGTTGTCCAGGATGAGGGTTTTCCTCAGGTCCCGCCCCAGGCGGCTGAGGTCCTTGACGTAGCAGCCCTGGTGGAACACGCAGGACTCCCGGAACAGGCGGGCCCGGAACACCCCACACCGGTCCAGCAGGTCCGTCACGGGGTCGGCATACTGGCGGGAGAAGAGATGCCGCGTCTGGGTGCAGTCCCGGTCCCTCTGCGGCACCCTGAGGCCCACCCCTGTGGCTGCTGCAGTTCCCACGCCTGCCTCCCCTCCTCCTCCCTGGTACCTTGGCCAGGCTGGCAGTGAACAGCACACATTCGAAGAGCTCCCCCATGCGTCTCAGGAACTCATCCACATAAGGCCTCTTGAGCACGTACACCTGGGGAAAAGCACAGCGCGCTGCTGGGGACCCTGCGCGGAGGCAGCTCAGCATCCGTCCTCATGACCGCTGGCTGGAGCTACCCAGCCCGGGCTGACCTCCCTTCACCAGGCCTTGCTGGCTCAGCGGTCCCAACCTTAGCTAGGAAGAAGGGTAACACCGCGTTCCAGGAGCCATCTCTGATCCCGACGGCGGGCCATCAGCTGCCTCCAGAAACAAGTAATCAAGAATAGGCCTCACGGATGGAAACAGCCTATCCTGGATTACTTGAATCCAGCCACAGCCTCTGGGGGAGCGTTGTGTCCTTGGCTCCAGCACGACAGTTTGTCCAGGTGCCTATTAGGCAAGGACACAGGCATTTCCTGACACCTCATGCCTATGCGTGGCTTCTCCACTGTACCGGGGAGGAGCGACTTTCTCCCCTGATGACCACAGACTTCATTCGCTGCCCCCTCTTGCTCCAGGGCCGTCTCTCGTGGTGCTCCTGCTGGCCACAGCCACCTACCGTCCACGCTCACCTTTCACGACTTGCAGTTTTGCTCTCAAAGGTTTTCTGGCTATGCGTCTCCCCATCAGCCTTTTTTCTTTTTTGGTCTTTTTGAGACAGGGTCTCACTGTGCAGTTCAGCTCGGCCGTGAGCTCACTTTGTAGCCCAGGATGGTCTCGAACTTGTAAGGATCCTCCTGCCTCAGCCTCCCGAGTGCTGCGATTACAGCAGGCATGTACCACCACGCTCGGCCTCCCCATCCGTCCTGTCTTCAGCCTACACAGGCTTCTAGGACCATTTATTTCCTCCAAGATCTTTTTATTCACGCTACTCCCCAGCCCGGAGCGCACACCCGCCGTAACTCCCTCCCACCGCCGCCCCAAAGGCGCCGCCAGATCACCGGACCTCTGTGAGCTCCTGAGCAGGAATCCCCGGCTCCAAGCAGCCCCAGCTTCGTTCCCCCTAGCTGCCATTTCTTCAGCTTTCACAGCCCTTTTCCTGGCCATCTGTCAAGCTTCATCTCCCTACTTTTTCTTAAAACTCACCCTTCGTCTGAATTTTATCCCTTTACTACGATTCGTGCCTTCCCCTCACCTAGAAGCTCACGCTATGCACACGCCTTCACCTCTCCCCCTGGGGTCTGTGTGTCTCTCACGCCGCCGCTAGGCCGTGAAGGGCTGCTGCCCACAGAGGCGGCCGGAGAAACAGCCCTAACGGAGGTGGGACCGTGACACCAGCCCAGCGACACCTCAAACCCCACCTCCCCAGGAGTGCTCAGGCACACGGACCCGCGCCAAGGCCACCCGGGCCGCTGCTCCAGGGCTGCTGCCCCTCGGGCCGACGGGCAAGCACTCAGGAGTGGGCGGTCTTGCCCCTGCCAACTTCACGTAATTCTTAACCCTGGCCCGGCCAGATTATCAGGGCTGGAGCCTGTTCTGGTTTAGACTCATGCTCCTTGACAGAAGCCACTGTAATAGGGCCGGGGATGTAGCTCAGCGGCACAAGCACCTGCCTGGCAAGCGCAAGGTCCTGAGTTCGATTCCCGGTACCAAAAAAACAAAAACAAAACACTGTAAGGACCCAAGGAAAGGAAGTCAGAGGAGATTTCCCGGAGAAGGAGCTGCCTGGGCAGGGGAGGGAGAAATTCAATCGTTCCTCATGGGCGGGGTGTGGGAAGGAGAGCCTTCTGGCAGAGAAACACCACCACTGAACTCTTTGCTTGTAACAGGCAGACACACCCTCTATTTAGGAATATACAAAACGCAGTAAGCCCTGATAGGTGCTGGCTCCACGGAGGGATGGAGATTTAAAAAAAGGATAGCTGTTACTACCATTAAATAATGTCATTTGGGCTGGGGATATAGCTCAGTGGCACAGCACCTGCCTGGCAAGCACAAGGTCCTGAGTTCAACTCCCGGTACCAAAAAAATAAATAAATAATGTAATTTGCCTTGACAGCCTGGCTACTTTTTTATTAATTGTCATTATTATCCTTGTTGTTATTACTATTATAATTATCATTATTATTATTATTGGTCTATTTGGTTTTCGGGGACAGTCTCGTATGTAGTTCTGGCTGGCCTTGAACTCACTATGTAGCCCAGGCTGGCCTTAAAGCCTTGAAGTCTGGGATCCTCTTGCCGCAGGCAGACAGCCTGGCTTTAAAGAAGAAAAAGGTCAGCCAGAGGGAGTGGTGGGGCAAAAGTTTTTTCTTTTTTTCTTCCTTTTTTTTGAAAAGTATTTTTGCCCTGAGTGCCGGGGGTAGCGATAAAACAGGAGAGGCTGAAGTGACAGAGAAGGAAGCAGCGATGGAACACAAGCTCCAAGAGGACAAAGGGGCCCCGCACGAGGGCAGCAGAGGGCAGAGCCCCGCCCCGGGGCTGGGTGAGGCCTGGCAGGAAGCTCACCTGGTGCGTGGTCCCCTCAATCTCTACAGGCACTATGAAGTCAGCATTGTTGATTGGCTGGAAGGCAGAAGAGTTAATGACGTCAGCATGGGGGCGACAAGAAGCCCCACCTTGCCCCCTGGGAGGGTGGAGGGCAAGAGACTCAGGCTCCCGGAAGCTCCCCCTGCCAGCCCACTAAGAGCTTCTCAGCCGGGCACAGAGTCCGACACTCCCACAGCACCTCGGTGCCGTCCTGCTGAGTTAACACCCTCATAAAAAACAAACAAAGCCGGGCGTGGAGGCACACACGCTTGTAATCCCAGCACTCAGAAGGCTGAGGCAGGAGGATCTTTGAGAGTTTGAGACCAGCCCGTGCTATAAAGTGAGCTCAAGGCCTGCGTGAACTGCACAGTGAGACCCTGTCTCAAAAAGACAAAACACAAAACAAAACAAAACAAAACAAAACAAAACAAACAAAAAATGGGACAAGGCCAAAGCTGATTTAACCTTTTTGAGGCCTGACTCCTGCGAAGCCCTGTGGTGCTATGTGTGTGTGTGTGGGTGTGTCCGCGCGCGCTCGTGGCCTGTTGGCCGTGATGTGGAGGCCGGAGCAGGGAGTTCCCACTGAACAGTCTTCAGTACGTCCCTCCGTATCTGCGCCAGCAGGGTGGCCTGGCCTCTCCCTTCCCGTTTTTCCCTCCTCACCTTTAGGCCGCCTCACAGCCCCGTCAGGCTCACGGGCAGGCCCAGGCTGGGTGCGGCAGACGTCACTCACCTTAAAGGAACTGTGCACAAGGGTTTCATCCAGGTCAATGACCACACAGATCCTCCCTTGGTCTTCCTCCGTCACCTCCGGGAGCAGGCAGGTCCCAGGGATCTAGAACCAGAGGCAGACTGCTGAGACGTATCCACTCCCAGAGCCCAGGCACTCTCCCCAGGGAACTCCGGGAAGAGCCAGGCCGTTCCTGGAGGCAGAACCGCCAACCCGGGACGGGCACCACTTGAAAGGCAGAGGACAGAGGCGGCAGAGCGGCTCCGTGGTTTTACCTCCCAGTGAGCCTGGGAAGTAGACCTGGACGATGGGGGTGGAGTCAGGCTGCGCGGGGTGCACAGCAGCCCCGGGAAGGGAGTAGGGAGCACCCTACTTAAACAGCGGGCCCTCAGCTGACACCCAGAGCAAAGGCTCCGTGGGGCACACGGGGCTGGCCAGGCGCCGAAGAGGAGGGGATCGCCGTGCCCGCCGGGCTGCCAGGGGTCGCAGGGCCAGCAGGTCCACGTACCTGGTAAAACTGGTACTGGAGACACTGGAGCAGATCCGACTGGGGAAGGAAAGGTGGGGGTCAGTGCCGGCTCGCCAACAGCTCCCGCCCCACCGAGCCGCAGCTTCTGCCCAAACCCAGCACCTGCAGGCTCCTCACATGACAAAAGCCGCACGCTTTAAGGGCTGGGTGGGAAAGGGGGAAGGTTAGCACCTCCTTTCCACCTTAGACGGGACAAAGTATGATGGTGTCCTCGCTCCCAGCTGCCACCTCCTCTCAAAGTAAGGGTCGAAGGATTCAAGCGGCCAAGCCAGGGACGAAAGGGTCAGAACCGTGATCTGAACTCCTAAGTCTTTCCCGCTTAGTCCTTAAACCCAGCTGCCCTTTGAGAACATCTATTTTCTATGGCCTCCTCGAGGGAACGTGGGAGAGGGGCTGAGCACCCACACAACACCAATGTGAAGCCACTGTGCGCACCAAAAATGTGAAGTGCAACCAGGGGAGGGTGGGGGTGGGTGGGGTGTGTGTGTGTGTGTGAGTGTGTGTGTGAGCGCGCCCATAATCCCAGCATTTGGGAGGCTGAGGCAGAAGGGTCACTGTGAGCACTAGGTCAGCCTAAACTACATAGAAAGACCCTGTCTGGAAAAACTAAACCAGCTGGGCATGGTGGTGGTGCACGCCTGTAATCCCAGCAGCACTCAGGAGGCTGAGGCAGGAGGATC